ACAGTTGGAAAACATTATGCAACATTATTTTTGTTACAAGGAGCCGTGGTATTTAGGAGGCGTGGTGGCATAGTAGTTAGAATTCAGTATTGCAGGATAATTCAGCTCATTGTCAGGAGTTCGATCCTAACCGGCTAAAGGTTGACTCAGTTTCCATCCTTTCGAGGTTGGTAAAATGAGGACCCAAATATGGGGGAAAATACGTTGATTCTGTAAACTGTTTAAAGAGCGCTGTAAAGCACTATGAAGCCATATATAAGTCTAAGTACTGTTGCTATTAGACAACCGATGCAAGAATATCACAAACACAAACATGGGAAGATTCTGAAATACTCGTAATGGTTGGTGAAGATGATGGAATTAGTAGAGATGATTGTCTCATTAAGAAAACAACAATAACTACTTTTATTTGTGACTAGAAATCCCTTATGGACTTTTTGCTGGAGAAAGGAAAATAATAAACTTCTGATTTATGGGACTGACGATCAGAAAGGGTAAATTATGATGTAATCTTTGATAGAGGGCAAAGCTAGGAAAATCAGAAACCACTTCTTTATAATCTTTATAATCCTTTATTTTTCCTAATATCTTTCATTTATTCACTATTTTTCTTTATTTTATGTCTAAAATTTGAATTATTTTCATCTTGTTAAAAATTCTTTAATAAGAATTATAAAATCATATTCATGCTATGTCAAAGCCATTCTGTTTAGAATTATAGCTACACAGCCTACCATATTGAATGTAAACTGTCTACCTAACATTATGCTCCCTCAATCTACTTGCATAAAATCATTCAGAATAAGTTAAGAGTGTTTTTACTTAAAATCAGCACAGTTTTTTTAAAATGAAAGAAAACGTAACTACCTCAAGATAGATAGCAAAAGAAAAGACAGTGATTGAATTTGGTATTAACATTTTGAATGATGCTGGGTTGTATTTTAGAGCTGATCATTCAATACTATTTAAAATTGTAACTCTGTTTCTAAATTGAACCTAAAAAGCAATTTATCCTTATCATTACATGTAGCAATTTAGATACTCAACGCTATGACAGCAAATCAAGGGATATTGTGAAAATGTAAAATTTTGGAATATGTAATTAAGGTTGTTTCCCCCCTTTTTGCAACATCTACTTAAAGAAACAAACCACCATAATCCCATGCTGACAAGGACCAGGCAGAAACTTTACTGATATATTAAAAAATTAGGTTTCCCTAATATTTTATTTTGTGAAACATATTTAAAAACATGCTTTAGTTGGGTGAATATCTTTTAATGTCTTTTTTTAAAAAAAATTGAGAATAGAAAGATCACTTTGAATTAGGATTTTATATATCTAAAACAAACATGCTGGTAATGTTGAAGAGAGATGGGCCAAGCCAGGGGAAGGAGTCAAGCAGGGAATTAGTCTGGAGTCCCTACATGGGCAGAAGAGGGTGAAATCTGACCCTTCTTTGAATGCTGTTGAACCTCATCTAGTCTAGTCCAGATGCAAACCATTAGTCAGAAAAGATTTCTGTGTGTAGGCTTGAGTAATAAAACAGCTAATTGAACTCTGGATCTTGTTCACGTGTAACAAACAGCAAATGAATGGATCGCTACTAGTTTCTTCATTTGCATTCATCTTGGAAAAAATGAGTATTTTAATCTTTGGATCACAGTGGTCCAATAAATTTGCATTATCTTTCTCTGACAGCAGTATGCAGATAATCCTCGAGTTATGACTACAACTGAGCACAAAATTTTATGTTGCTAAGCAAGACACTTAAGTTAATTTTGTCCCATTTTACAACCGTTCTTAACATCTTTGTTAAGTGAATCACTGCAGTTGTTAAGTTAATAACATGGTTAAGTAAATCTGGTTTCCTCATTGACTGCTGGTCAGAAGGTCACAAAAGGTGACCCCAGGACTTTGCAGCCATCATAAATAGGAGCCAGCTGCCAAGTGATCATGTGACCATGGGAATGCTACAGTGGTTGTACATGGGAAAAACGATCATGTCCCTTTTTTCAGTGGTGATATAAGTTTGAATGATCACTAAACAAATGGTTCTAAGTCAAGGCCTATCTGTAATTCATTTCAATTTAATACCTCAGCATCACTCTTTTACTCTACACAGTGCCAGAGGGTAGGGCTGATTTATTCCCAAAATGTCAACTTTTATTTCTTTTGAAGCTTGTTTAGAAACAAAAAGCTGTTGCATTAAAAGGGAAAATCTATCACCTACTTCCTTTCCAGAGCTAAAATATGAAATTCCCTTTGAATGGCAGTGGGTGTCTGGTATATCAGACTATTCCAACCATCAGAACCAACCTTTTTTAAAGTAGAAGCATAGAATATAAAAAATATGAATGCAGTGTATTTTGGATAAGAGGATCTTAACTCTTATTATATACCAGTGGTGGGTTCCGGATTTGATTCCAATTGGTATGGTTAGAACAGCCCCGATGTCACCCACATACACGCGCGCGGCACACATGCATGCATTGTAGCTGGAAATGACGCTTCCGCAAGCCTCCGCTACAGTCCAGCTGCTCAGCAGAGCATTGTGCAGGTGCTGTATGCACCGTGCACAGAAGTGCCAACAGCTTTAAAACACGGTAAGGAGGGCGGGCGGGTCCTCCGGAGTACTGTACCGGAACGGTATCCAGTGCTCCGGGCTGGCTCCGGTACGCCCATACCGGGGCGTACCACCTGCAACCCACCACTGTTATATACCTACAAAAATAAAACATTATAAATGCTTTCTCTTTGTGCCCAATCATTTTGTTTACCTCTTCAGTTAAACAGCTGGTTTCTCAATACTAACTTCCTCTTGCAGAAGTGATGTCAGTAAACCCTTGGGGGTCCTACCTTGTGAAGCTCCAGCTTGGCAAATGGCAGCGGGAAAGGCAAAAGGGAGCTTAGGCAGCAGCACAAGGAAGATTGCTAAGCAACAGATCACAAAGGCCCTTACACCCACCCCACCCCCCATATGTTGCTGTTAACACATTAAGATTCACATGGCTGTGGATAGAAATAATTGAAAATCAGTGTGATTGTTTAACGGGGAGGTCAAAAACATAGTCTCTGTTTTGTATGTGCATGTCTGGCAAAGTGTAACTGTAACTGATGACTGTATTTGCAATTCATTTTCATTCCAGCTGTTAAATTTTAAATGTTTATAATAAAAGAGATATTATTGTTTGTTTCTTTTTTAAAAAAGTAATCAATCTGATGCTTTAGAATCTAATTTTCAGTTTGTTGGCATTGTTTTCAGCGTTTTCTCCTGATGATCCTTATGTGGATGCAAATTTTAGTTTGATTAGTATCTGTATAAGCAATCTTAAACTGATTGCCATCGTGCCTCTTTATAATAGCTTTAAAAAAAAGAATACACCGCACATTTCAAAGTCAGGTCAGGTTTTAGTGACAATAAACAAATCATTTATTTTTTCAAACTCAGCAAAGCCATTTAATTTATATCACAAAAAGTTTAAAAACTAATTTTTATAATAAGCATATGAAAATAACATACCTTGAGATAAAGAAAAATGTATGTGAAATCAAGAATTTTGAAAACTTAACAAACATTATTAAGTAAAATTTGAATGTTCAGTCATATCTTAGATCGATGCATCATTGTATTAACCACTAGCATAAAAAACAAAATGTGTAGCTAAGCATGCTGATGAGCGGTTTGGGGTAAGATACCAGAATTATACATATATATTTTTGTTAACCCCCTCCCCACTTTAGGAGAGCCTAGTGATTGACAGGCCCCGTGTCCGTAAGCAAACCAAACACTACAACTCCTTTGAGGAAGATGAGCTGATGGAGTTTTCAGAGCTGGACAGTGACTCTGATGAGCGACCCACACGTTCACGGCGTCTCAATGAAAAAACACGTCGGTACTTAAGGGCAGAATGTTTTCGTGTGGAGAAAAATCTGCTTATATTTGGGTGTGTTTCTAAATCTCTCTTAAATGTTCAGTCCTGTATTATATACAAGGATTATTGCAGTTCTTTTAAAAAAATAGTAGTATTTTGAACGTTGAATTTAGGGTAACATTCCAGTTCCTATAATTCTGCTACCTTTGGCACTTTCTTCCATTGCTATACATTAAAATTTGTGGAGTAATACTTGTTTTTATTTTATGGTAAACAGAAATCCCTTTAGCTCCCTTGCTGCCTCTTTTACCATTTTTTGCTAATTTTTGTTTCCTATTGTTTATATATCTCTTCTATTTTTTCATAAATTAATGAGAAAGTACCTTATTTTTCGGAGTATAAGACACACATTTTTCCCTCAAAAAAGAGGCTGAAAATCTAGGTGTGTCTTATACACTGAATACAGCATTTTTTGCCTCCTGAAACCCTGCCCCCTTCACCAAAATGGCCATGCATAGCTTGTAGGAAGCATTCAGAGAGCTCCTGGGGGCTGGGGAGGGCAGAAATGAGCGAAAAACGCCTGCTTTTTGCTCAATTTTACCCTCCCTCCAGCCCCCAGGAGCACTCTACAAGCTTCCTAAAGGCTATCCATGCCCTTTTTTTAATGAAAAACAGGCCCATTTTCATGAAAAATGGGCCGTTTTGTGTTTGTTTTTGGCCCCCCGCCCTGCCAGAAGCACTCTGCAAGCCCCCTAAAGGCTATTCATGCCTTTTTTGGGGGGGGGGACGGACCAGTTTTCGCAAAAAAACGGGCCATTTTTGGGAGGTTTGCAGAGTGCAAAACCTTTAAAAAAAAAAAAAAGCCTCTTCAAAACCTTGGTGCATCTTATGCTTTGAAAAATACGGTAATTGTATGAACATTTTACAGAAATTCTGATAGTTTTTGTACACTGTGCATCTGTTTTTCTCAAGCTGGGGACGTTGGAAAGATATTCTGACCCATGGCCGGTTTAAATGGCATCTCAATGAAAAAGATATGGAGATGATCTGCCGAGCACTGCTGGTCTACTGTGTTAGACATTATAAGGGAGATGAAAAGATTAAGAGTTTTATTTGGGATTTGATCACTCCAACAAAGGATGGACAAAACCAAGCCCTACAGAACCATTCAGGTACCAGAAATGAATGTTGTGGTGTTCTAATCTTATTTCTTTAAGCTACTTAATAAATAATAAAAATTGATTAATATGATTAGTGAATCATACTTTTCTGAAAGATGAGATTTCTTCAGTTGGAGAATATTTTTTAATCAGAGAATTTCAGATTTTGTTAATCCTGAAGATGTCCATCTAATATTTTTTTTCAAGATGAACTATTAAAATGCTTCTTGATAAATTCAAAATGTACATTCTGTATTTACTTCTTTAACATGTATTATCCCTTGTTTGACATTTATTTGCAACAACAGTTATATCCATATAAAATGGCTTCTTATACCATCAAAGTGAATTTGATGCCCTTTCTATTCTAAACACTTGAAATAATTTTCTATAATAAGGTAAGAAATGGAAGAAAGATAAAAATAGGTGAAAGCAGGAAGTATACAAATGAATGATTATAATATCTGAAGACCCCATAACATTCAGACAATGAAGTAAAATGATTACACAATAAGCTTATCATCCTGAAGCATTCAGAGATACCTTTTTAATTTTTAATTTTGTTTGCAGCTTGTTAGATTTATATATTTTTTTCTCTAGGAGAACACACCTGCTTTCATAATAATTTTCCAATGCTTTATTGCCATAACAGTTCTATTAGGTGGGCTCTCACATAGATACCCAGTGAGTATCCATGCCTGAAGATAAGATTGGGTCACCCAATTCTATTTCAGCAAACTGACTGTTATATAATACTCTTCTGTGGGTTAATAGAGTTTTATTAGTAATGTGGATTCAGGGTTAAGTTTTAAGAGTGATTTTAGTTATTCAGTTATTGTAATTTCTTTCCACTTTTTGATATGGTACCATCAGACTGTATGTTAGTGTGGAATCTCCAAATCAATATTGTTGATTTATTGATTACTGCTATTTCTTCTCATTCCTGAACTAGTAGAAGTAGTTTAGGAAATAGCATTGCTTTCTTCAGCTGATATAAAGAAGGATATGGAAATTTGAAATTAATATCACACCCTGTGATGGACCCTGTTTGGTCCCTATGCTCATTTCTGATTGATGGTGACTTCATTACATATGCATAATTCTCCTCTGACATTCATATTTCCAGGCAATTTGGGAAATTTGGCTTCATATTCTGTTATCTGGGGGTTAATTATTTTTTGGAAAAAGAATTCCTTGTTTTTCCCCCCTCTTATGTTGATAGTTATTTTTGTTTTGTTTACAATGTTTATTTCCTCCTATATTAATTGCAATTGTATATATTTGTAGTAGGAGCAATAGAGAATAATGTGGGGAATGTTTCAGGAGAGGACATGTCTATATAATTATATTTTTCCTTGTATATTGACATGAAATGTAGACTATTTAACCAATTGAAAACTGCTGATATATTTTAGCATGGTACTGAGGGGAGAGAGGTTTTAATTTGGGTGCTCAAATCCCTATCAGTGGCTCATAGCCAAGAAAGTCCAATTCTCACAGAGTCTAATTAATTAGGTTTATGACAAGAAGAAAGCACTTACATTACAGATCTTAGAAACTGATTATATGCAATTTAGGTATCATTTATCAATGACTACAATAAGGTGGTTCTCTTTGCAACTATCTCTTGACTCAAGAGGGAGGTTGCTATGCATTTAAAAGACTTGAAAGGAAAATCCATATGTTTTTGTTCTTCTGTATATTGCTTCAGGGGATGCAAAGGAGCCTATAAAAGTGTTTGGGCCAGGATATAGTGGCAGTACAACTCTCCTAGTGCTCCTGAAACTCATTTGCTTCAAAACCATTGATTGTGCTATATGTATCTGACCTTGAAGGCCATTTGGTAGATATAGCTGATCCTGAATAAGGCTATTCAAGTAGCTGTGGCACACACCTCAATGTACACATGTAACACCTCTAGTGTGATCTGTTTAATGGTGGGTTTGGGTTCTAATTCAAACTGCTAATGATAATCTATATAGCCTTACATGGTTCAGGGCCTAGGCATCTGTGGGACTGCCTTCTCCAGTTGGTTTTGCCTTTTCTATATGTTTAGGCAGGATTAGCATGCTTCTTCTTTGATCAATACAATGGTTTCTCTAGTCTCCTCCATAGTGCAATCATTTTTATTATTGTTGTTTGTAATTCTTTATATGCTGCTGAGTTGCTGGCAACTGTATGGCCTAAGAAATCAATTAAAGAAACAGTACCTTTCTGGAATACCTGTGATAATTAGGAGAGGAGGCACTTTTTACAGTAGTTCTCAGTACCAGTTGGTTGGGGAGGAGAGATCAAACCATTGAAGCTACATTATAGAGTGCCACATGACTTGGTTATCCCCCCCCCCCGCCCCAATATGTTTAACATTCACATGAAGTCATTGAGGGAAGTTATCTGTCAACATGATATCTGATGATATCCAGTTATATACCTCCACCATTGGCTGTGCAGGAGATGGCAATGAAGATTTTGTTCCAGTAGCTTAAGGCTGTCACAATTTGACCAGAGACAAACAGGTTTAGCTGAACCATAATATAACTATAGTATAAATTAATACATCAGTCTGGAGAAAATTCATCTCTTGCAGGGGTGCATTTCTCTTGGCAGAACTGGTTTGTAGTATATGGTCTGCTTTGACTCACATCTCCTGCTTAGAGTAACAAGTAGAGACTTTGGCCAGGAGGGCCTTTAAACAATTATATCTTGTGCATCAGTTTTGACTATTTCTAAAATGGGAGGCTTTATTGATAATCATGTCCTTGTCATTTCATGTATCAACTGTTGGCACTAACTCGACATGAGTCTGCCCAATTAGAAATGGAAACTGATTGAAAGTATAGTTTGGGGAATCCTAGGTTTCCTTTTGTGACACCTCTATTATAGGAGTTGCATTGGAGTTGCCAGTTTAGTGTCCAGTACAATTCAAGTTGGTAGTTGTTGCCTTTAATGTTCTATATGGCTTGAGGCCTAGGTATTTCTGAGACTGCCTGCTCCAGGTGGAATCTGCCCATCCAGTGAGATTGGGAAGAAAAAGTAAATTGCTCCTGCCTCTGAAGGAATATGGCCATGATGGACTCTGTGGTCAAGATTTCCCATCCTCTGAAACAGCCTTTTCCCAACATAAGGTCAGATCCTTCCCGCTTTAAGTTTCCATAAAGCAATTAAGACCTGTCTCTCCAAGAAGTCATTTGGGGGCAGGATGAAAAAATGATTCTGCCTCTGAGGATCTTGACTGGCACTGTTGATTGATTTGAGAGTGGGGTGATGATTGGTTTTGATTACTTTTGGCTTTCCTTGTATTGTTTTTAATTTTCTTATTGGAGCAGCATAGAGGCTTGAGTAAATATTGTTGCTAAAATAAAAGGATTCTGTCAATGAAATCCTTGGAGAATCTGTGTCTGAATTGGGGGGGGGAGGTGTGTGTGTGTTTACATATATATAATTACTGATAAATAAAGCAGAACAGTTTAATGCAGTTTTTCTGAAGTCATGATTTTTATTTTATTTCATATTTCTTGACTTTCTGAAGAGCTAGGTGTTCATAATTTGAAGTTAGCAAAGGGGAATTCTGCATCTAGCTTTGTGATATTAAATTACCTTTTTGGAAACGTAACTGTATAATGTGTGGTCTACAAGTAACCCAAGAACTTTGTTATGGTTATATGCCACTCCAACTACCAGATGTGGGCAAGAATTGTACATTTTCCCAATCCCAGGTTCTATTGGAATAATTAGATATCTGGGATGGACTACAAAGAGAAAAATGTGTTTGTGCTCTGCCAGTTCCATTTACATCTGAACTATTTTTTCTGTTTTGATTTGCAATTATATAGACACATCCTGATTCAGCAGTGCTGCTCATATGCTTTCCCTTGTCTGTTGCAGGATTATCAGCTCCAGTGCCAAGAGGAAGGAAGGGGAAGAAAACCAAGAGTCAAATGCTGTTACCCGAGATTAAGAATGCAGATTGGCTTACTACTTGCAACCCTGAAATTGTCCTACATGATGATAGCTACAAAAAGCATCTGAAACAACATTGCAATAAGTGAGCAAATGGAAGCATTAAGACACTGCTTTCATACTTCTTGAACACTTATCTGATTTTCCCTGTTCTAAATTCTAAGCCAGTCTTGAAACTTAGAAGTGGCTTGTGAATTGGTGCTTGTATTTAAAAATGTATTCCGTGAGATAAATCCATGGAAATTGGCTAACAAGCTCTAGAGAATAGATGATAAAATTTTAATTGCTATTGTTGTTTTCCTTTTTAACACACATTCTTTTCCAGAACATATGGGACTAGGAACACAGTCCATGCATTTATAACCAAAACAAATTGGCCCAGATTTTGGGCAGGGCTTTCCAATTTATAAATTACTCTTTTCTCTGTTTCTCTAAAAATTAAAAGGCATGTTTACATGGAACAAATATTGTAAAAACCTTGTGGATATTTCTAAGGTTTTTATGAGCCATTTTGCAATTTGAAAAATTTAGTAACTTCTCTTGTGTGCAGAAGACATGATAGAAGTCTGTAATCTCCTATGTCCCAAATATAATTAAGATGCAGTGACATCTGCATCAAACCAAAGTCATGCCAAATTAATGACATAAATACAGTGATGTCACACAAATGTTGCCATTAAATACTTGCATCTCAACAACTGATGTAAGTACTATAAATTGCCCCTCATGGAGCAAGCATGTGGGGTGTGATGGGGAGGACATGCATCAGTAAGTAGATATTAAGAGATGTTAATAAGCACCATGCTTTTAGCTTTCTGGATATTATTCTTAATTTCATTGCTTATAGCATCTAGTTCCTTATCATTTCCTTAACTCATGTATAATTTTAAAATATTTTTATTCACACTTATTGGGTGTTGTGGTCTCATTTAGATTATCTACTGCTATTGGCTGGTTTACTTACTTGGTTATTATTTAACACCGCCCAGTAATCTTACAGCCAATTAGATTTTTATGATAATGAATTTCATCTGCAAGTGAGCTATCTCTTACTTCTTATTCACCAATATCAGCTTTTTGAAGATTATTTTCTAGAAGAATGGTGTTTGGTCCCCATGGTGCTAACTTTGAATGGCATCATAGCAGTCCCCATTGCCAACAAACAAGGCAACACATCCTGTAAACTTAAAGTGGGTCTGGAAAGCATGTTGAAACTCAGATTTACTGTCTGAGTTACCTTCTGCTTTTCCTTTTGGCAGAGTGCTGTTGAGAGTACGGATGCTCTATTACTTGAAAGCTGAAGTGCTGGGGGAGGCAGCTGATAAAGCCTTTGAAGGAACCCCTGCCAAGTATGTTACATTAGCCTTCTGGAGTTTTGCTTTATAATCTGTTGTGTTATAGTCACAATATTGGAAGTATAGACAGCATGTGCTTGGATTGCAGTTCTTGCATGTGCATAAGTTTAACACTTAGCAGGGAACTGTAGGACTCTGAATGCATATATATATATTCATATTGAATATGCTCTCAGTTAAAAGAGAATGAATGAATGAACATACATACACAGAGTTTAGAGCAAACTACATGCATGCAGTCTATAGTATTTCTCTGAGTTCATATATTGTATAAGTTATTGTTTAATTATGATGTGTTAGATTTAGACATTACTAAGTGCTAAATAATGATTTACAACCACTATGGTTATTCTGAACCACAGTGATGGGTTCAGATAACAAGCCAAATTCAAACAAACCACATTAAAATATAACATGACATATGAATCCAGTTTTTTAGCAGAGTAAATAATATTAAACAAAAGTAGTACTGCTTTGAAATTTGCAAAAAAATACTATAATAGTACTGTAATGAAAAGTATTAATTTTACCTATTACCAAAGTATTCCAAGATTATAACAGAAAAATTAACTGAACCAAATGTAAACAAATTTGATTTACACCTATTGGTTTTCTTTTGAGTGAGAGTTGCCCCTTTCATAGTGTAACGTTAGGTATATGTGATTGGTATATGAAAAGTGCTGAAATTCTGTTGATTCAATTATTCCTCTAGTAAAATGCTACTAGGGGAAATAATGTTAGCATCAATATATACTTATTAGTTAATTATTAACCCCATCAGTTTTGATTTAAAAAATCTACCACCATCAACTGAAGCAACCTCTTTGAATTAAGTGGGTTCAGAGATATTTATTTTACTTATTTATTATTTTATTTATTAAATTTGTTTGCTGCTCATTTTGTTGCAAAGCGACTCTGGGTAGCTAACAACATCAAAATAAAGCCATAAGTATAGATCTACAAATGTGTGAAATCACAATAAAATTATAATAAAATACAAATTATAACTAAAATTAAAAGATGGGGGGGAAAGGAGTAGAATCTATGGGGGAGCGAGAGGGGAGTTGCTATTAGTTGATCAACTACCTCCAATGTGATACTCTCCCATTGGGGCTTCAAGCCAACTGGCAGAGCCAGGTCTTCACGTTTTGTCAAAGGCCAAGAGAGTGGGAGTCAAACTCATTTTGAGGACAAGATGTTCCAAAGGGTTGGGGCACAGCAGAGAAGGCTCTTTTTCTGATCCCCATCAGATGGAATTCCTTGACTGATGGGATCCGCAACATTCCTTCTCTGCCGGCATGGGCGGGGCAGCCTGTCTCATAGGGGTGAGATGGTTCCTCAAGTATGATTTGTGCAGTTCTTTAAAGCATCTATGACTTTCCCCCAAATTTTGCAATTGGTATCTATGAGAAGAGTTGCAGCTATTTTAAAGAGTTGTAGGTAGATGTGCTCTGAGCATCTTTTAGAATCTAATTTAAAATGATGCCACATAGTCCAGTTTGAGTATACTTATAAAAATACCCAGACTTTAAAGTAGACATTAGAAGCCAAATGCTAGATTAATGAATAATTATCAGAGCTGGTAATACAGCACAGCTTTTTACAGTGGTTTCATATCATTCTTTTACACAGATTTCATTAGATCCTTTTTCTTAACATTATTTAAGGTAAACCTTTTACAAAAGTAATTTAAATATGTGCCCAGACCTGTTTATGACTGTTGAAATATGCTTTATCCTTTGCAGAGATTTAGATGTCTTGCTGCCAGACATTGACTATGTGGAGATTCCTGTGGACTGGTGGAATGCTGATGCAGATAAATCCCTCCTCATTGGAGTTTTTAAACATGGTATTTCCTTTCATGTGGGATGGACCTTTCATAGACATTTCTCTTGTATAAAATGCTTTGGAGGAAATATTTCATTACTGGTGCAAGTGCAGCATTCCCTCCTGCCACCTCTCTTTTCAGGCTTCCATGAAAGTCTAAAAAAAGACACGGCAGTTTTAAGAGTTGTGCTGCTCATGCACATTAGTATATATTAGATGCCTAAACAAGGATCAAATTCTTTTCTGAGGGAAATCTTATGAACACTTACCAATGAATTGGCTTCATTAAATTTGTTGGACCTCTGAGGAAACATGAACAGTAGGCTGCAGCAGCTCCTGTACAATTTGACCAAAGTAAAGTAAAGTAATAATATGTGATTATATGTATTATATATTCAGATTGTGAAAAAGAAGGTGTGTGAGTGATGCATTACCTGGATTGTGATTTAGTTCAGTACAGGTAGTCCTTACTTATGTCTATTAGTTCAGCAACCAGCAATTATGATAGTGCTGAACTAAAGGACTTATGATTGGCTGTTCTGGCTGTTGAAGCTCCTTTCTATTCACATGAACAAAATTTGGGTCAAATTCTCATTCCCATTTATGAGTGCCTTTTTTGGCTCTTTGCCTACCCACTGCTGCCAGTTGTCCTATCACCTAGCCTTCTTTTACATACCAGGCTTCTTTTGTTAAGACCCCAGGTGGAGTAGGAATGTAAGCCTACTGCAAATGGATTTCCTGGGTATGGCATGAATGGAGACCCTGGATGAGGTGCAGGAGAAGCCCCAGATGCACTAGGGTGAAAGACGGTCCCAGCTGATGCAATAGTGGTATATGGTGTAACATGTATGGTGGCGGGCAGGTCTGGGTATTGGGAACAGGTATGGTTAGGAAAAAGGGCATAGGTGGCATGGGGAATTCAAGAGGAAGCAGTCTGCTATCTCACTGAGGCTCAGGACTGGGAGGAACCAATGCTGAAATGGATTGGATTGGGATGGATCCTTTTCTAATGAACAGTGAGATTCAGTGTATAATGACAACCAAAACAACTGGAATAGCCATTGCTAAGTGAAGTAGTCACTTGACATTCACTTGAATTTGTGTTTATGACCACAGCACTTAGGGATGAAAATTCCAGTCCCAATTACTGTCGTTAATTAAGAACTACCCCTACATGTCTCTGAATCTCAAAAATGTTTTTAAATATAATATTTCATAAATTTTCTTGTCTTACATGGTTGACCTATTTGAGATCCTGTTTGGTTTCTATAGGTTTTCGAGATTCACATATACAAACAGAAATGACACTGAATCCTATAAAGAAATTAGTCATTCTGCTCTTACTTTTTTTGTTTATGTGGTTGTTAAGGGAGTAGTAGTATGGCTTTAAGTTGTTCTTTGGATAATACTTAACTGTTTTAATTATTTTATTAGGTTATGAACGGTACAATGCAATGCGAGCTGACCCAGCTCTGTGTTTTCTTGAGAAAGTGGGCATGCCAGATGAGAAACTGCTGTGTGCGGAGCAGAATGTCACTGATGGAGTACAGGATGCTCCAGAACGGTAAGTCAAACTGGGCAGGGAGAACCGTCACAGGAGTAGAGTTGCCTGAGAGTTTGTACTTCTAATACAGTTAGCGCATAAGGGTATGTACAAAACAGAAAACATTTTGTCTTGAATCTGAAACAACTACACTGTGTTTCAAAAGTTCTGCCAAACCTTTTTGGGTGGTCTGTAGTTCAACCACACAAGACCTTGGAACATGTTAGTTGTTCTGGGTTTCAGTTGAAACTAAATCTAAAGGAATTTTATGGCACAAGTCAGGCAATATTAGTGTGCTTCCACCCCCGCCCCCACCCCCAAATGGCCTGTGCCCTGAGTGCTTACCTATCAATTTTCCCTTTGCTTTACTTTTCCTATCTCCCTGTAGTTTCCACCATCACCAGTGATCTTTTCATAGATAATTATTACTGATTCATATTTTGTAATATATATTGCATCTATGTTCTAGTTATACGTATAATACATTTAAAATATTTTAAGTATATTATTTCATTTTTTCAATCCTCCGACAAATGAGCATTCCTTGAAATACTGTTAGGACTCATAGTAAAATCTCCTTTACATTATTTGTCCTCTTTTCCATCTATTTACTTAGAGCTTTGCATACACATATAGAGTCATAATCTTTAAAAATTAAATAGCAATAATTGTTAGTGTTTTTGTCACATTAAGACTGCAAAAACATGGGGATGGAATAGTGTATGCACTGCATACAAGTTACATACATTTCTCTATAAAGCAGATTCATATGTATAGCAGGAATAAAGGAGCCAACACAGTTATTACCTCAGTGATATTTGCATTTGGAGAGCTTTATTAGAATGGCTTTGACTTGCAAAGTTTCTATAGATTAATTTCATGTTGGATTCTTTTTCTCAGAGGAAATACAGACAAAGAAGAGAGCAGTGCAGATAGACTTGCTGGAGTAGAGAAACAGGAGGTAAGTCCAAGGCAGAAAGTGGATTGCTCATTCTACCTGTTTTCTGTTTTAAAGTTGTTTTGCAACTTGAAAAAACAAGTATCACCTTTAGCAATTTTATTCTGAATCATCTTGACCTTAACATGGTTTTCAAGCAGATTCATAATAGTATCTTTACCCCATATACAGTAATGAAAGTGATATAGATTGTATTTCTTCCTGCATATTTTAAGAGATGTAGCCAGTTTTCTCAGCTCTGCATTCTCTAAAGCAGTGGTTCCCAAACTTGGCAACTTTAAGACTTGTGGACTTCAACTCCCAGAATTCTCCAGCCAGCAGAGCAGAGCTGGCTGGAGAACTCTGGGAGTTGAAGTCCACAAGTCTTAAAGTTGCCAAGTTTGGGAACCACTGCTCTAAAGGAATTGAGATTTCACTTCCCAGCTTCCTACTCAGCATTTCTAATCTATAGAAATGAAACAACATATCACTCCCTAATTTGTCCTATTTGCCAGGATTTAAATTGCATTTTATTGACAGCAGTTTGTCTTTCCATAGGAAATTTCTGATACTTGTGGTCCAGTTCCTGAGAAGAAGGATGATAATGTGGCAGGTGAGGCTGTGCATCTGAATGTTCTTTAAAATAATTTTTTTGGCTCAAATAGCAGTTTGTTAGCTTTTCTAGTGTAACTATTGCCTATAAAATGCCTACCATAAAAATATAATTCAAATATCATTATGGAAAAACTCCGTAATATTGGAGACCTATTTCTCTAAATATTAGCTGCTTCTTCAAATGCTTTCATTTCTCTTTCCTTTGAATACTTAAAATGGCTTAGAACAAATGGTGCTTTACAATCTTTGAAAGTGGTGTACAGCTGAGCGCAGCTAGCAATGTTAATAAATTGTTTGCAAAGTAGTTTGCAATTTAAGATCTAGCTTGCTTTATTCCATTTATGCGTACCTATCTTTGTGCAATTTTTTTTATCATTCACCTTCAATTTTTGTTAGTATTATTATGAAAGAGACTGAGAAGAGCAAAACAAACAAAATAATGCAATCATAGAGTTGGATGAAGACATTTGTTTTAGGCCATGAAGTCTAGCCCTCAAGAGAAATCATCCACAAGAGATGGCTGCCTGTCTCTAGTTGACCATCTCTACCAAAGGACAATTGACTCCATTGTGGAACTCTTATTGTTAAGGAGTGTTTAAACATTGAAGGACTCAAAAAGAAATGTGAGTGCCTGTCACAACCACAGAACTAAGGATTAGTGCAAACAGTGATTATTGCCTTCAAGACATACTCAGCTATAAATAAATGAAGCATATTTTAGCTTGTGAAAACTTAGTCATTTAATTATAATTCTGTGTGTCAAAGGAATTCAGGAAATTGGATTAATAGGGTTAAGTAAATCAGAGTTCATATGAATATGCTGCATTAGGCTATATATTCCAATATATCTAAGTGAATAGAGGATGTCAGTGAAAGGATTCTTTAGGTTGTGTTAAATACTAATAACCTTGCTGATGTTTGAAGCCCAGGATGGCTCCGACCCAGACAAATCCAGCTGGCCTGTGTCATCTGCTCTCACAGCCAGACTTCGGCGTCTAGTCACTATCTATCAGCGTTGCAACCGCAAAGAACTGCCGCCTAGACCTGATGTTATTGGAACTTGTAAGCATGGCTATTGGCTCCAAGAGGAAATGATTAGGAGAGCCAATGAAATGGACCCTATGAACAATGAAATACAGAAGAGGTAACAGAGTAAACTGTAAAAATCAGCCTTAAGTTTATTCGGATATTGCTAATTCTGAACAACTGCTTCCTATTCTCTGGCTTTTCATTTTGATTGTAATCATGTGGATACTACTGTACAATTAGACATCTGAATTCATATTTTGACTTTAGATTTTGGTATAATGTAAATCTGCAATATAGACTGCACATGTTTTAATACTTATATTCTAAATATGCTTATTGTGATCACGTGGTATCTCTTTCTGGCAGGTTATTGGAAACCATTCTCCCAGCTTTGAACTTGCAAACATAGGATAGTCACTTGAACAGTTGCATGGCATTCTTCCCCATTTTCTTAGCTTCAAACTTAATGAAAATTCAAGGATTACAGTCATGCTTAAAATTTGTGAACCCATTTGAATTTTCAATGTTTCTGCATAATTATGACTTTAAAACATGATCTGTTCTCCACACTAATCTTAGAACTAGATAGCGAAAAAAAAGGTGCCCCGTTTTGGACCTGAAGGCCTCCTGCACAAACCTGGAAGCCAAGATGAATTTGAAAAGAAATTATAGTAATGTCAGACCCAAACAAGATTATTAATTTATTTTACACTAGTTGCCATAGTGACTGCTGGTTATTAAACAAACAAACAAACGAACCTTAAGCTTTGTCCTTCTTCAGTAATGTATTCCCTCCTTTGCCCATGGAAAAGCAAGGTATTTCTTCATACATATGGTTTTATAGAAGATAAAAGATGCCTTTCTGATTAATATTTAAGGAAGAAACCTGGTATTCATGTTTTAATAAACTGGGATTATATTGAGAAACTGCCCTATGGATTGTGTGACAGGGCCATGTTCTTCATAATTGTCCATACTAAGCTGTTTTCAGCACATAGACTTCTTTCATAATCAAAATTAATTCCAAACTGCAACCATGGAAGAATTTCTGGGAGTGGAATGATATATAAATGTAATAAATAATAATAAGTATTGGGATGAAAATGCAATTTTGATATATTTATTTGTATTCCTCATGCATTCTTCAGATGGACCAGAAGAGAGCAAGCAGATTTCTATCGCACAGTCTCCTCATTTGGAGTCATTTATGAGCCAGAAAAGAAAGTCTTTGATTGGACTCAATTCCGATCCATTTCACGCTTGGAGAAGAAAACTGACGAAAGTTTAGAAAAATATTTCTATAACTTTGTTGCTATGTGTAAAAATGTTTGTCGGTTGCCCCACTGGAAAGATGATGGTGAGTAAGAAATATTCAGGAGTTGCTGTTGAGTGTTTCCTGCTTAAGATTTCTTCCATGTCATTCTTTATACCATTACAATTATCATAGCTTCTGAGTATCTTTAGTCTTCAAAGTGTCTCTCTCTTTTGCTGTAAATACGTTTTCCATCCACTGAGAGCCGAGGTGGCGCAGTGGTTAGAATGCAGTACTTCAGGTTACTTCAGCTGACTGCTAGCTGCGGTTTGTCAGTTCAAATCTCACCGGCTCAAGGTTGACTCATCCTTTCATCCTTCCAAGGTGGATAGAAATGAGGACCCAGATTGTTGGGGCAATATGCTGACCGCTTAGAGAGGGCTGTAAAGCACTGTAAAGTGGTATATAAGTCTCTGCTATTGCTATTTCAAGGATTCCAATGTAGTTTCATCTTCAGATTGAAAGCTCTAAAAATCCAAGGAGACCATTTATTACTAAGAGAGGCCTTGAAATGACCATGGAGGCTAGGATTGAAGTGACTAGGACTCAGCCCACTCTCAGTCAAGGAAACTCCCTTCTGGAACAGCCACTTTCTCTCAGTATGATCTGCTTCACAGGGTTTTGTTATGGAGATAAAATAAGGGGAGATCTCCAGGTATAGTGCTCTTAGAAAAGTGATATATCTATCAATTATTTGAAAGATTTTGTTTATATATAGGGGCTTGAGTGATTTCACATGGCAAAACTATTCCAAAACAACTCATAACAGATGCTAGTCCTCTCTTTGTCTAAGCTGATGTGAACCGTAATGGCCCCAATATATGTAGCAGGGCATCCCAGGCTATAAGCCATCTTCCTTTTTCTGAACTTTTTTCCCCCTCACTGTCATCTTACGCTACAGCTTTGAACACTAGAGTCAGTATCAACTATCCTGACACAGAAAATTTATTTCACTTTGATTTAATTTAAAACTATTCTGCTACAGCATCTCTCTCTCCCTCCCTCCCTCTTACTTTCTCTCTCTCATTGGTTCTGGTTTTATCTATTGTACCTTTATATTTATTTGTATAGGCCCAACAGATCCCAATATTTATGTGGAACCCATCACAGAGGAACGTGCTGCAAGGACGCTGTATCGAATTGAACTCTTGCGGAAGATCCGTGAGCAAGTGTTGAGGTGTCCACAGTTACATGAAAGACTCAAACTTTGCCGCCCAAGCCTATACCTCCCTGTTTGGTGGGAATGCGGCAAACATGATCGGGACCTGCTAATTGGTACGGCAAAGCACGGACTGAATCGCACAGACTATTACATAATGAATGATCCACAGTTGTCGTTTCTGGATGCTTACAGAAATTACGCTCAGAATAAAAGGACAGGGCTCCTTGGAGAAGAACACTTATGCTGTCACCACCAAGCAAATTCTAAACTATATTACTCGCCTTTGTATAATCAAGCAGAAAGAAAGCAGGCATCAGCAGAGGCAGAAACAGAAAACTGTGCTAAGCTCATGATCTCAGGGAATGATCTTTTACAGGCTGAAAATGCCTCTCAGGATGGCAGCTGTGAAAATTTCATGTCTAAGGTCCGAAGTATGATTTCCGCTAACTATGATGAGAGTTCTTTGCCTGACTCTTTGTCATGCATGATGTATGATGAGAAGGCCTGCAATAGTGAGCACAGTTCTTTTGCTCGTGACAGCCCTAGCTGCACAGACATCAGCAGCAATGCTACCAAAGTGGCAGAGGGCAAAACAGATGGGGATGAAGACCTCTCTAGTTGTGATGCTGAGACCATACGAGAGTCCACCTACTTGGATCATTTGCAATTTGGCAGTGATCAGTTGGAAGGTCAAAATCTAGGACAGGAGCTTTCAGAGAAGGAGGCAAAGCCTTCCGAGAGTTTTGCTCAGGAAACCTGTAATGCCCTTCAGCATATGGAAAGTCAGTATATGAGCCCAAAAGCAGTTCCATTTGAAAGAGATGGTGTGGAGAGTGTTCTGAGCATAGGGGTCTATGGTCCAAGTCTTCATAATTTTGACATCAAAGTACAACCTGAGAAGAGATTGATGGGCTTATTGCATGAAAATAGTTTGGAGGAGAAATTAATGCAGAGTCAAAGCCATAGTGAAGAGGAAGAGGAGGAGGAGGAAGAAGAGGAAGAGGAAGATCATCTGGAAACAGTAACCGACATTGGGAAAGATAGAGGAGAAGCCAAATGTAGAACACAGGAGGAACAGAAACACAATTCATGTATTCTCACCACCCTGGATGCATTAATGGAGGAAAGGAATAAGATCCTGGTTGAATCAGTCTCAAGTGAGCTGGCAGCATCCAAATGTGATAGTGAGCCAGGGATGGGTGAGGATGATCAAGCTGAGTGTGAAAGCCTTGAGGAGCACACCCCAGGCTTGCAGGAGATTCAGACCTGTCACCACCACTACCATCACTCTGCAAGAAGCCAGGCTTCAGCAATTCAAGTAGAACTCCTTAAGCAACACCCGGTTTGCATGGAAGGAGACCTCTGGGGAGATGATTCTGAGGAGAAGAGAGATAGTCCTGTTACTCAATCTCTTTATGAGAGCGAAATAAAGAGAGAAGAAGAAGAGTGTGAACACCAAGACCTAGACAAGAGGGATGGAATAAGTCAAAATCAAGGTAGATAATTATGAAGGAATATTTCAATTCTTTACATTTTTTCAATTTGGGCATATGTTGGACTAGAAATGTTCACATCAGTAAGGATGATGCTACAGCTTGACACTTTGCGGCATCACGGCTTCCCATTTATTGTTAATTAAAATAAATTAAAACAGAAAAATAGAAATTAGTAAACGGAGTTTTCTACTCCATTAAAAAAAAAAGAAAACCGTGTAGCTATGATTGCTAATTAATTGTAACTCTCTAGGATACTACTTAAAGCAATCATGAAAAAGTTACATCAGTGCACCCCATGTAAGGTTTTCCCTTTTTTAACATTGTAGCCATATCAATTTTAATCATCATTCAAACAAAATACAAAGATGTAATTGGGAAAAATATGAAAAAAATGACTTTGCATTTATTTATTCAACAAAAAAAACCCTAAGTGCTATTTTAGGAGTGCAGAAAGCTCCGAAATAGTGAATACTGCAGCTGACATCTAAGTATCTTTTATTTCAGTCATTTGTTGAGAGTCATCAATGTAGTAATTTCAAGACTGCTTTTTTTTAAAAAAAACTCTAGATGGTTTTGAGAAGTTTTCTGAAGATGAAAGTAAGAGCTCTGCATTTGCTGTTCCTGGAGAGAGTGATGACCTTCATGATGTTCGGGCACCTACCATAGCTCAGCTTTTACAGGAGAAGACACTCTACTCTTTCTCAGAGTGGCCCAAGGTAACTTTGTAGTTTCAGTATGCATAAATAAAGGATTTAGATCAATGCTCAGTGAGAACTGAGAGCAACTTCCCATATCTTCTCAAGATTTTTTCCGCACATCAACAACATCTGGAATCATATGGCATACTCTAAGGGGGTGAAATCGAGGGGAAAAATGGTGTCCCCCTCATTAGAAAAGAGGAATTATTTTAATGAGTCTTCCGCTATCTGTGAATTGTCTTGTTGACTAGATTCACAGATCATTCTAAGCTGCAGGAGCCATTATAGAGTTTTCTTTATTTCTATATTTCATACAGGCAGGTGCCAATTAATAAGAAACTACATTTTCTATGTAGCTCTGATTAATTTCTGTAAATTGAACATTATTCTGTCATGCTGCTTATGTTATACTGTATTTTGATAGACATGAACATTACTTTCTATAGGTATTTGTGTGTTTTAATATACAAAGTAGAAATGTTTTGTACGTGTGATTCTAATGGCATAATCATCCTTTGGAGGGGTCCAACAGTCAAGGTCACAGCTCCTTTCCTTTGTGAATGTATGTAGTACTAGTTTCCTGCTTTACATATTTATAAAGGTTGGGACATTTATCCTTTGAAAAATATATATTTTAATGCAGATATTATTTTTAAAAAGACAGAAATGTTGATCTCATTTCATCGTTGGCCATTCAATCAGTAACATTCTGTGGCAACCTTCCTTCATAGTATCTACCATATTTTCTTTTATTTGCCTCCCCATCTTGATTCCCTCCTCCTAAAATGCAGTTCCAGAGAGTATCACATTGGAGTAACCGTGGTTGTTGACATACTTTATAGATATAAACTAATAATCTCATGCTTCCTTTTTAGTGTGCAATCTCTCAGATATTTAATACATAGGTTCCTGATATGGTATGTACTGTATTCATAAGAGTAACTATGTGTCTGCATTCCCAGGCCTGGAGCGTGATGATATTCTTGATAAACAGAATAGTAAATACACAGGCCAATCAATCTCTCAACATCCTATTTGAAAAGGAGTCTTAGGTTGAGTTTGTTCACTAATTTTAGTTTTCCTGAGCATTATGAGGGTATGCCAACGTATACAACTAAACAAAGAATATCTATTTTTTGGCAGGATCGAGTGATCATTAACCGTATTGACAACATCTGTCATGCAATCTTAAAGGGAAAGTGGCCTTCTTCCAGTCAATCTTTTGACATACCATATATGATGCCCACTCCTGCCTTAGTCAGCAGTACTTGCAATAGGAGTGGCTATACTGAACCAGAAGTCTCTGAATCCAGTTTCAGCAATGGAATGTTAGCGACACAACTCCCAAAGGTAAGCTTGGCTATCCATTCTATTAAAAGTTATTTGTATCATATTTCAGACTCCTGTTCCTATAGAGAAAACTATTGCATATTTCCTATTTCATTGTACTTACTATGTGCTAATATCTTTGGTGTATCAAGGTTATGTGGCAGGCGATGAAGACCATTAATGTGGTCTCCCAGAGAGATCTCATTCACATTATTTATTGATTATTATCAGTGGTCCAAATATCCAGTTAGTGATATAACTCCTTAGTGAGAGGTTGCATCTCTTTAAGGCTTATAGAAAAAAATTGTAAGGGAGTTCCTTGAATAAGTTGGGAAAATATAAGATGAAGACTTTGTTAATTTTAATTTAACTTTTAACTAATCCAACTAGCTTTTAATTTAAATTACATTTGAATGTGACACTACAACTCTAGGAGAGATTGTTTCTTTCTTCAAGACAATGTTTTTAATATTTTCAGCAAAGGAGGGAATAATGGAGAGCAGAAGTGAACTTTTCTAATTGTTACGGGCATGGAGGTATCCCTTTTGTAAAGAGGTGCCATAGATTCTGCAGCTGTACATTTTGTATACCACTAATCATAAAAAGTGACCTTTCTGGCTCTGGCTTTAACTACAGGAAACTTTTTTGGCTCCCACCTTTGTCAAAGATGAATCCAAGCACCGGCAATCATATGAATTTGAAATGGAGAGAGATGCCAAGCACCGGAGTCTTGATCAGCTTGCAGCATCCCACTCCCACCCTTCAGCTGTGTTAAATGGCTGGCGGGATGCAGTAGATCTCTCAAGAGTGCCAGATGGAACTTCAGCAAGCAGCACTCCATTTTCCATGAGCACAAATATACCTAAGCTAGGGACCATGAATGCTCTGCAGGGCTCCCTTGGCATGGACTTGTCTGGAATCCTTCAAGCAGGGCTTATTCATCCTGTCACAGGGCAGATTGTCAATGGAAGCTTGCGAAGAGATGATGCTGCTATCAGAAGACGACGGGGTAGGAGAAAAAATGTGGAAGGGATTGACCTGATACTTTTGAAGGAGAGAAGCCTCCAGACAGGGCTGCCCGTGAGTACAAATCCCTATACTCATTTGTTATTTTCAGTTTTCTTTGGACAATGGACCAAATTTCCCCTGGGCAATTGTTACACCCTTTGGAGATTTTCTGACTTCGATTGTTGAAAGCTGCTTTGGAGGCCTACACTCGGCAGAAAGGGAAGTTTTTAAAAATCCATCACAGTAAACAACTAAATCCTTCTGGCTTCCTGAATCAAGGATCCCAAGCCCCTGTCCCATAATCCCTACTATTACACTCTTTCCCAATCCTGAATGTGGAGACAGTACTTTTGGCCACTGTCACCTCTCTCTCTTTACAGAGAAAATTACTCTATAATATTTGGGAGGAATAAAATTGGAAAAATTTGTTCCGCTTCTAGTTTTCTTTCTTTTGTGGCTAGTAGAGTGGCTGAAATGTAAGCTAAATTCGCCATCAGAATGAGACTAGTGGTTTCAGAAGATACGGTTGTGTAGATCAAGGTTAAGCACCTAAATGAGAATTTAGGACAATGGAGAAACATAAAATCTCATGAATCCTGCTTTAATTCACAGCTAAACTCCAGACGTGAATCCCTATATCTAGACATATTCTCAGTCCAAAATAAGATTATTAAGATACAGGGAAACACCTCACATTAATCCATGATACAATATTTTTAACCAAGCCTAATTTGCATCTAGCTCCATTTTTTTCTAGATAGAGATTTCCTTCCAATTCTCCAATCCTTCTGCAGGTTGGATGATACTTCTTGCTTAACTGAGGGATCTCTTCCTGGAATGAAGGCAAAAGAACTAAACCTAATGGACTGGGACTCCTTTCTTCTAGGAACTCACCTGAGGACGTGGCAGTTGCCTGCTTTTGATTAGTTACTTCAAGTTTGAATTCCCCAGGCTTTTCTATAGGAGGACAGCTGTGTTAGATGTATGTTGTCAAAAAATCTGAAAAAGTCTGATGGCATTTTCTCGAACATATTTTATTAAAAACCATATGCTGTTAGCTGCTGCTAATCAGAAGTGAATTTTTGATTTTTTTTAACAGGCTTTCCTGGCAAAAGGTTATAGAGCTTTAGCTTTGATGGATTTAGTCTTAGACCTGAACTGTGTGGATTATTTTCTCTTTCAATATACTTTCTGATCATCACAATACCCATATAACTAAAACAGGAGGATATGTCATATAGTAATTAGTAATTAACACAAAGAAAACAATCATATATTGTATTGTTGTAGTGCAATATATTACATATTTTAAAGACTGGAAAGTTTTATTATAAGCAAAACAACTCAGACAAATTAATCAAATAGCTCAAAAGTACTATTCCTTGTTGCTTTGATGATAAAGTCTAACCCAATTATTGACAAGCAACACATAGCAATAGTAAAGTGCTGTAAATCTTTTGGCCACCCCTTACATGTGAAAGGTCCTTCATTCTCTATATCTTGATAGAGTATAGCCAAGAATAACATATGCTTCCAGATACAAGGAAATGTGTGTATCTTATCTTCTTTCCCTCTTCCCCAAAATTGTTTTTCTTTTTCAGCTGCTACTGCTAACTTAATGCATCATATCCCTATTCTGTAGATTTCTTCCTTTAGGTATTAAATCCAATAAAAGCATTAAAGCAATTTGATATTTTTGAAATGTGTCTTATCACATTAATAGAATAAATCTAAGAACAATTGGGGATCCTAATACTTGCTGGGGCTTCAGTGGGATCAAATAATAGCACTTATGTTGAAGGCAGAGAAGGGCTAATTTCTGAAAGTTTCTGTGTCAGTCATTAATCCAGATTAAATAGACAAATATGGTTTTTGAAAGATTAAATCCTTTTTTCCTTACAAGCAATTGTAATTTACGTAGTAAAGATCTACATATAAACATATGTAAAATATTAGAATTTATATCTGAGGACTGCCTTTTTTTCTTTATTTCTCCTCCTCGTGTTATTCAGGAAGATGAAGGTCAGACCGTCACAAGTAATTCTAATTCAGATGGGCCAGTTATAACTACCTCAAGTCAACAGACAGCTCCAGCTACCAATGTCCAGACAGATAAGATTGTTCCAAACAAGAGTCTTCTGGATTGGCTGAGACAGCAGTCTGATTACACTCTCGAAATCCCTGGCTTTGGCACAGTAAGTGCAAGTTTTGTATTCCAGTGCGGGACAGTATTATTTGGGGTTCACTCATATTTGCTCTTTCTTTTCCTTTCAGAATTTTATAGAAAAGCCTAAACAAAGAAGGCAGCGTTGTAAAGATCCTAGCAAGCTAGACATAAATTCTCTCACAGGAGAGGAACGGGTGCCTGTGGTGCATAAGGGCACAGGACGGAAGGTAAGTGAAAGTGTTCTTACAAGTAATGTTGTCTTTGACATGAGCCAGTAAAGCTTTTTCTGCCTTTTTATATATTATGAATAATATATTTATTCATATTATTCCAATCATGTCATTTAATAGCTGACCAGCTGCTGTAATGTTGTAATGCTGTAATACTGAAATGATGAGGCAATGATAATGAGTCAGCAGAGTTATTTAAGTTATCACTTTAAGAGGCTGTATATATAAGAGAGGCCCTGTCAGGGGCCTCTCCATGCTATAGTTGATGACTGATTGCCTGACATTGCCTCATATGGTATGTATGTATTCCTTGTAGATAAACCACTATTTGAAAGACAAACCTCTGTTTACTGTATTTTGCTTCTGGGTTGTCTCAAAATAGTCACACTGTGCGTGTTAGATAAGCTCCCTGTTGGGAGAGCGAGTACATTCAGAGAAACATTGTGAGAGTTGTGTTGGAGAACACACAAACCAGCATACAGAGACACTGCAGTTTAAATAGGCTTTTACTTTTGTGGAAATAGAGGTATCAGAGTCCATCAAACAGTCCAAGTCATACACAGATAAGACAGTCAATCATCAATGTCTTTCAGTTAAGGGATAATCCAAATAACATAGTCCAGTATCATATAATCAGTTCAGAACTCAAAGTTTGCTAGCAGTTGCAAAACTTACAATAGCTCACGGCACTCAGATCAGATTAGCCCAGCATCTAACGAACAGAGAGCTAACAGTCATTCTGGCTCCCTCTTATGGTCAATTGAGGAAAACAGCAACCAATCACATTTTACAGTATGATTTAAAGAAACAGGTACAGCATTGCTATATGATTTATATATTGCCAACCGAACCATTAGATTATATTCCTAACAGTGCGCACTCTGACAAATCAATCTATCAATCAGTCCACAATCTGGAAATTTTATCTGGGTCTTCATCCATCTATTTTCTTTTCTGGAAGGAAGTGAAAATTCTAAGATGTATCTTTATTTCTTCAATTCAATCCTCTCCTGCGCTTTATGCATTTGAACTGCATATGCAAAAGGAGTAGCATCGGAATCATTTAAATATAAGTATCCTCGTCTCCAAGTAAATATGCTTCTCGTGAAAACCTTGGCCTGGTGTTTAAACTGTAGACCCCTTTCTTTCTGAAGTGGGGAACTGCTAAGGAAAGATAATCTGATATTTTAAAAAAATAGGTTGGAACTATAACAATTTAGCATTTAATTGATTATTAAAACATGGAAAGTTTAGTTTGCTGTATTATATGGCAAGCTACAATTATTTGCTGATTAAAGTTTGTTGGCTGAGAAAATAGGCAATATTAAAGTGATTTCCACGGAATGCATTGCAGGAATTAAATAAAGACAAGCATTATTAGGTGGAGATTTATACTACCATTTTCATGCTGTAGCCTTAGGAAAGCACATATAAGCTAGATTCTATCATTTTGAATTTTGCCTCTATCACCTGGCAATCTTCTCATCACATCGTTGAGTTCGTATTGGTTAATAAATACATATTTACAGTATTTGATTTATATCACTAGGTTCCTTCTTAGCAAAATAAAGGTAGAAAATTATTTGTAGAGCAATTGGGTTAAGAACAGAGAGTTCTAGAAAATTTTTGTAAAAGTTTAATTTTATTTTAAACTGTCTGCTGGACATGATTAGGATTTTTTATATTTCTGCCTCTCTAAAGTTTCCTGAGGAAGAACAAATGCTAGTTGCTCTGTAAGAATATTTGTTTAAAATACTGCATCAACTATGTTTCTTCTTTCTGTCTGAAGAGTCTTCCCATATTGTGGCATTCATTAGTACAGAGTAAGCTGGGAAAGTAGATATTTATTTTCTTGCATAAGGGAATTAACAGCATAAAATAAACAGATCTTTCTTTTTAAAAAAGACAAGAAATGAGCAGTTGGAAAATAAGTGGAGAGCTAAATAGTTAAATGCTTAATTGTGTGGCTTAGAAGTTGTATGCGGAGGAGGTCACTCTTTCTCTGTGTTTTGCAGTTAGGGGGAGCCATGGCACCAGCTTTGAAGGAGTTACCAAGGTGGCTTGATGCAAACATGGAGTATGCTGTTGCAGCAGACTGGTCTGACATAGTTAAACTTTCAGTAAGTAAAAAAAAAAGGGAAAATCTGTGCCATTACAGATATTCCTCAATTTACAACCACAATTGGGATTGGAACTTCCCACCACTACGCAGTGCAGTCATTAAATGACTCATCACATGACTTTAGCCTATTTTACAATCTTTTTCACTGCAATCATTAAGTGAAACACTGTGGTCATTAAGCAAATCCACTGACTGTCGGAAGCCGACTTGAAAGCTTGCAAATGGTGAATATATGATCCCAGAATGCTGCAACCCAGTGGTGGGATCCTATCGGTTTAACAACTGGTTCGGTGATCGTGCACTTCGCTGTGCGCGTGTGTGCAGTTTTGAGACAACTTGCTTTCTGCGTTAGTGGTGGGGAGGAAAACAGCTGAGGCGCACAATCCACTCTGCCGTGTGACTCAGCTGAGAAGATATAGGTGAGGGGACAGGGGAGGGCGGGCCGACTCACTTGAACCGGTTCACTCCCAGCTGATTGCCGGAGCTACCAGTTTGGGCGAACTGGTTGTTAAACCGGTAGGATCCCACCACTGTGTTGCAGCATTCTGGGATCATATACTCACCATTTGCAAACTTTCAAGTCAGCTTCCGACTGTCAGTGGATTCACTTAATGACCACAGTGTTTCACTTAATGATTGCAGCAAAAAAGATTACCACCCCTACTGCAACCACTATAAATACATGCTGGTTGCCAAGCACCTGAATTGTGGTCATGTGACCACAGAGACGCTGATGGTATTAAGTGCAAAGACCAACTGTGAGTCACTCTTTTCGGCACAGTGATAACTGAACAGTTAATGAACAGTTTTTGTTTTATCTTCTTTTCCCAACCTTCTATTTTCATGGACAGGTAGAAGAGTTCCTAATATATGCAACTGCAATATTATTTTAATGATTACCTTTGAGTAATAGTTAAATATGAGGTACGCTGTATGGCCAAGTTGACAGATTTGCCTTTTTGCACTGATGGTTCATTTGTATGAAGTGTCAGCCAAAATATCAAGTAATAACTTAAATGTTTTCCTCACTAAACTCTTTGGATTTCATTGAGAAAGTATTCTATGATTCATATGATTCCTTCTATTCAGCATTTCATCCTTAATGCATCCCCAAAGTAATCTCAAAGTTTTATAATGACTGCAATAATATTTTTTGCTAACTTTTGAATAAGAATACAACATTTTTTAAAGATTTAGATTCCTCTGGAAATGAGTGTGAGAGACAGAATTAATAGCATTCCAGTATTATTGAGTATAATCTACAATAAAATAGTTGAGGCTAAAGTTCCAAATCCACTTATTTAGAAATAGGTTCTGTTTAACTCAGTGGAGCAGCTCTGAGTAGCCATTGCATGCCATTGACCATTGTGTGAAAGAATTATGGATTAAAAGGACTGCTTTCCTAATCTAATAGCACTTTGTATGTGTTAAAAATTACTCTATTTTAGGGGAAATTCACAACTTTTAAATGAATACATAACTTAATCTACAAAATCAAGGTTCAGATTTCTATGCAAATAGTTTTGTCTTTATGAAAGTCTCCACATTGTCCATAATTTTGAACAACACAGAATGATATTTGAGAATTTATTCCTACAGCTAAGATCCTCGTTAACCTCAGAATTTTATTATCCTTAGCAATAACTTGTGGAAATTTTGTTTTGTTTTCCATTCTCAGGGTTTTTTACCTGAAAGCAAGTTTCATCGTATTCTCACTGAGCCTGTACTCCGAGATGTTGGACCTCGACGAAGAGGAAGAAGGCCAAGAAGTGAACTCTTTAAAGCTCCGGGTATAGGAGCAGATGCTTCGTCTGGAATGGGACCATTATTCATGAATGGACTTATTGCTGGAATGGATTTAGTAGGACTTCAGAGTATGAGAAACATGCAAGGCATTCCTTTGGCTGGACTGGTTGGCTTTCCTGCTGGATTTGCAGCAGTACCTGCTGGGGAGGATGTCAAAAATACTCTGAGTATGTTGCCAATGATGTTACCAGGCATGGCTGCTGTACCACAGATGTTTGGTGTTGGAGGACTTCTTAATCCATCAATAGCTACTACTTGTACTTCAACTGCTCCAACGTCATTAGCAAGCACAACTAAAAGTGGTACAACACATTCAGAAAATGAAACTGAAGACAAACAGAATACCCCAGGTTCAAAAATAGAAACTGTTTCTGAAGACAAATTGAGTCCTAATTCATTTTCTGATCAGTCAGAACCTGCAATAACAACCAGTAGTCCTGTAGCCTTTAACCCATTTCTTATTCCTGGAATGTCATCTGGACTGATATATCCCTCAATGTTTCTTTCTCCTGGTATCGGCATGGCCTTGCCAGGTCTTCAACAAACCAGACACTCAGAGGCAACAAACCTAGAAAGTCAGAAAAGGAAAAAAAAGAAAACTAAAGGGGAATTAGCAAATGTGGAACCAGAAACGCTCTCACTATCTGACAAGGAACATGCTAACAAACAAAACTGTACAGAACAAATGCCATATGTGTCAATGGAGCATGAACGTGATGTACCAGCAGAGGAGGAGGAAGAGGAGGAGTTAAAAGAAATTAAAAATATCAATTAGATTTTTTTTTGTTTTTTGTTTTCTGAAAAAAATATTGTGGCTTGTTTCTCATCCCATAAATATTTGTTATTGCTCTTTGTCCCCACCTCACCTTCATAAAAACTGTGTTTCTGTAAGTAATATTATCTACCTAATTCCTGGTAAGAAAACTATGGTGACAATTTAATAGTTGCAAGGTCTTGCCATAGAAATAAGCAGTGTTCTAACATTAGTGTGGGAGGAATGGAATTCTGGTTCATTTGTCCACCATTCACCCTTCCCTTCTTTCAAACAGTAGTAAAATATCCGATCATCTCTAAAACTGGTCACCCCTCCCTTCTTCCAAATAATAGTACGTGGTCATTCCCAAAACTGCTTGCTTGTGTAAAAGAAAAAAAAATCTGGTAAAAGAAAGTGCTTCTTTTAGAAGAAAATACAGAACACAGGAAAAGGTTGATGTTTTTACAATGACACTGAATTAAAAAAAAAACAAATCTTGTATTTTGGAGTAAAAAGCACAGCTATAGTAAGTGCTAATGTGTATTTTTTGATTTAAAGTATTTCCCTATTTTATCATGTTTACTAGAATAGTAGTATAGACAGAAGTATATAACTAATGATTGAAATGCATATATTCATTTCTTTTTTTAAGGCATTAATAGTAGATATATAATTTCTTCCTGGTCACACTACAAAGTTTTGGAAACAAACTGCTGTAAGGGGAAAGATTACTTAACTTTTATATTTCTAAAAGAAAATCTTGTTTTATGTTTAAGATGCATTTCAGTTTTTTTTTTCTTTAGATATCAAGCCCATTTCAGCTCCTGCTGAGAAATTTATGCACAACTTACCTTTATTAAAAAAATACAGTGGCATGAAGAGGGTTATAATAACTACCAATTATTTTTTCAACTTTGTACTACTCATTTTTCACAAAGGCACTTGGCATTTTTCCCCCAGGGAAGAAGAAAGCAATGAAATTTTCTTAAGTGGGAACTGGACCTAAGTTATATCATTTTTTTCTTTCTTTGTGTAAACTTTGAAAACTTTTTTTAAAAGCTGTGGAATGGATTTTTCCATTATAGTTGGACTTTGGCAGAGATTGTCAAAGTTTCATAACTTGGCTTTATCCTTCATTTCTTTATCAGACTGTGAAAACATTTTTGCTATTTCTTTCCATTCCTCTTGAGCCCTTGCACTCTTAAATGATATTTCCCAGCATCTCCACATCTACGTTTTGTCTTTTAAACGAAACTGTTTAAAAACATATGCCAATTTTAAATGTTAAATTGCACCCAAGAACAGTTCTTACATAGTTATCTTTATTCCCACTCCTGTGTCACTTTTCTTTCACTTGGGCTTGTTCTAATTTATAGCTCGTGATTTGAGACTTGAAAAACAATGTGGTGCGATGTTTAAATGGCAGACCATTTAAAGGGGCTTGGGAGTGTATGCTAGTATTCAGTTTCACACTTGGTTTGTCACAATTTACTGTACTTTTTATTTTTTTTCCTTTTACCGTTTGCTAATTTATCAGGTGGTCCAAATGTTTTTGACATAACTATTTCAGTTTGCATTATTTATTTATGATGCTTTTTTCATTGTCTTTTATACATTTGGGATTTTAAAGTGTGTACATGTTAAATTTAGCATCTCAAAGAAGTCTGTTACCCATGAATTAAAATTAAGGCTGCATGTTGCAGTGAATTTATACTATTGGATTGGAATCAATACCAACAAATTACATAATTTGGTTACACTGTTGTAGAACAATTGGATAATATTATAGACCCTATTTAATACAGCTGTATAGGACAGATACTGTATGGCTATTGACAGATTTCTTAGAAGTGCTGCTATCTCTGTTTGACTAACATTTTGTTCAGCTTTGCCTCCAATGGAAGCAAAGAGGGTTTTTTCAGCTGTTAAATCCAAAATCAATATAATTTATTTATGTAAAAAAAATCACTTGATATATTTTTGAACCTTTTAAGTACTAATAACTTTTTATTTAGTAAAAAAAAACCATGTACTTGCCCTAAATCCTTAAAATACAAATGCTATAAAACTTCATATATCTTGAAAGCCTTACTGTCAATGGATGCAAATCTCTTATCTGGAGTCTACTTGTAATATATACGAATGTTTGGCAGGGTTACATTTATAAGGAACAGGGTTGAAACTGAATTTTAGTTTGTCAGCATGTTCTATATACCTTGTCCTTTCTTTTTTAATGTATGTTTGTAGGCTTCGTTTGACTTTCAATATGTGACCCTTTTGCAGTGTGAAGCTGTTTTGGCTTATTTACAGTGAAAGGCATAAATGGCTTTTTTCATATCCATTTTAAAAACATATGCGAATTTCTCATTTACTTCATGAACACTCACACCAACATAAATCACCAAAAGATGTGCTGTTAAAATAAAGTGTCTGTGCTTGTACAATGCATAGATTTAAAGGTCAAAATTTTAATTTTTGAATTTAGTGCCTATATTATGTGTTTCTTTAAAAAAAAAAAAACTTGGCTGAGCCTTGCAAAAAAAATGTACATACCTTTTTCTAGGAAATCTATTTCTGATTGTTTTGCTTGATTTGGAACTAAACATGAATTGCCTTTTTCTTAGCATGAGCACCATTTTGGCCTGCAGCTTTCTTTCTTTCATATTTTCTATCTGATTGACCCAAGAATACTCTGCTGTGATAACTCTGCAATGGTTAAAAATAGCTTAGGGTATTTCTCTAATTATAGAATATTTACACATAATTCAAGAAACTAAACATGAGTACTATTTTTAAGCCATCCCTTACATTAGATAGTACTTTTCTGTGGGGAGAAGCCCAAGCTACACAATTAGAATATTTCCAGTTCATGTATCTATGGATTTGCAAAGAAGTTCATTATTAGGATAATTTTCTAGTAATTCATGCATATCATCCACTGAATTTGCACAGCATGTTTAACTAGCAAGAACAAAATGTGGTAGTTTCACCAGCAGAGATCCTGAGAATCTCTTTGAAGAATGTGCTACAATGAAGATGCCAATAAATGATTTCGATATTAAATTTCCAAAAGAAAAATCGCTAATGAACATGCTTGCTCTGATTTCTTAAATCTGTTATTTTTTTAAGAATAGGAATAGTATACTTTGTTTAAGATAAACAGTTTGTCATTCAAAATCTGTGTATGCAACAAGTTAACCAGAATATGAAGATTTTAAAAAAAAAAATCCGAGCCTTGGATGACAGGATTTAATATAAAAATAAAGTTGTTATTTAGAATATTCTACGTAAGCAGATATCTTTTAAGAGATCAATTTCATTATAGGCATGCATTGTAAAATTTTAATATATAGTAATCACTGCAATAATACATCAACTACATTCAATATTTTAAATGAAAAAAATTATATAAGAAATTTGAAGCTGGGTAGGAACTTGAATTGAAACTCACTGATGCACTTTCTCTTAAATAGAAAGAACCTACGAGATTGGATGTTCCATTATTTATATCTTAATTTGATCTAGTATCAGCTGATAAGTTACTCAGTTGCTATCACATTTGATCTAAATAGAAAACTTTTGAGCATGATAAACATTGTCCCTATCATCAGAGAATGGGTGCAGAAATCTTGCCAAGCATTAATATTGTTTGCTTAGTTTTAACATAATTAAAATTAGCAATTATAGTTTATAAACCATATTTCAGAGTTTATCATGATATGTGAATTCTCACTTGCGCCTGTTCAGTGACCCACAACTGAGCTGCTATCTTCCTGCTATTTCAACAAAATAGAAGAATAGAATAGAATAGAATAGAATTCTTTATTGGCCAGTGTGATTGGACACAAGGAATTTGTCTTTGGTGCATATGCTCTCAGTGTACATAAAACAAAAGAAACATTTGTCAAGAATCATAAGGTACAGCACTTAATGATAGTCATAGGGTACAAATGAGCAATCAGGAAAATAACAGTTTATCAGAATAAGATTAAGTATTTACTTCCCATCTCAGGACACCAGCCTTTGGAATGGAATGCATCTTAAAAATACCATTATTGCTGAGAAAAGATTTTAGATTGTGAACCCAAACCTGGTCTTGGTACCAGCATCAAAACCAGGCAGCTTATATCAGATTATATCTCAGTCCTGCTACCTCTCCCTCTCCATCCTGCTGGTCTTTGAACAAGGTAAAGAACGGCTCATTTAGGAAAAATAAAAATGTAAGCTCCCTATATTTTAACTGATCAATTAATTAAATTAAATCCAAAAGCTTGTTGCATATATTCAACTTGGCTTAGCTTCATATTTCTGTTCAGTTGGGAAGCATTGTGCAGGGGGTAGTTTCTTGAAAATGTGGAGAACTATGGGGAAAAAATGAAAATCATTAAAAATATATTTCACAATGCAGGTGATAATTTGTGTGCACCTTTAAACATGTTTTGGAATATTCTAAATTAATTTAGAATATTAAACTACCCTAAAACATATAACCAATCTGTTATGGCCTAGATAACTGAAGTATAACAGCAACACATGCAATTCAATTGAACAATATAGTAATTAAGGTACCAAAAAGTTCTAGGTTCTTAGTGTTTTCCTTTTCTTTTTTTGATGATGCAGATTGACAATATATAGTATGAACATTTCCTAAAAATTCCGCAGTACAAGATTCTGTTTCTTTCAGTTATAGTTCCTTCGCTATGAATTATTATTTTAAAAGCAAGTACCCTTTATATAGAAACAGGACAAGGATGTTTTGCCAATTCTTGGGCAATGGAATTATCAAATCCATTAATAAAATAAATGCACAAAAGGTACATAGATGCCAACAGAAAGAAAAACGAACTACTTGACTTATAACATACCTGGATCCACAGAAGACTTTTAAAAGGCAGATATTTGTTAATATAATTGACAGTCTCTCTATGGAAGCAACTATTTTGGTTTTAAATGTAGCATATTCTCTTCCAAAACTGGCGATAATTTACCTAATCCATGTGGGTCTACTTAGATCTCTATAAATCCAGTATTACTCTTATAAATGATTTTTAAGAAATCATAAGAAAACAACTACCAAGGGTATAAAAAGGGGGCAGGCTACATATAGATGACAATTTCCATTTTTTTAAATATAAATCATTTATTCAAAGACACCCTGATAGACCACAGAAAGTAATTGTTGCTAAGGAAATAGCTGGTTTTCCACTTGTAATCTCAATTGCCTTGTGTTTTTTTACCATGGAAGGCTGGTTTCATTGCCCTTGATTGGGGAGTTAACTATGTTTCTTTGTTCTTTATCCTTTTTTAAAACTTGTTTTTATTCAAGTTTTCTTACAGAATAAAACAATGCCAAGTTTAAAACAAGAGGAAAGAAAAGTAAAGTAGATGGGTGGGTTACAGTGATGATGAATTTATCCGTCTCGGAGAGTGCTGGTTTGCTCCCTACTCAAGAAGCCATTGCTGAACCCATGCTTGACAATTTTTGTCAAGACTCCCAGTTCTTTCTAGGAAAGGTGGTTGAAAAAGTTTCAAATTTCAGAGGACCCTGGAGAAAACAGACTATCTGGATCCTTTTCAGTCTGGTTTCAGGCCTGGTTACAGCACGGAAACTGCTTTGGTCGCGCTGATCGATGATCTCTGGCGGGCTAGGGATAGAGGGCATTCCTCTATCCTGGTGCTTCTTGACCTCTCAGCGGCTTTTGATACCATCAGCTATGAAATCCTTTTGGGAGTTGGGCATGGGCAGCACAATTTTGTGCTGGTTCACCATCCTCTGAGGCTGGTCCCAATTAATTTTAATGGGGAGCGAGAGGTCCAGCTCATGGCCCCTCCTTTGTGGGGGTCTCACAAAGCTCAATGCTCTTAGCTCCTATTTAACATCTAAATGAAACCATTGGGCGAGATCATCCCCATGGTATGTGGTGCCACCAATACACTGATGAAACCCAGGTATATCTCTCTGTCACAGGTAAAGTGAATGATTCAGTGGATGTCCTATCACAGTGCCTGGAAGCTGTTGGGGTCTAAACAGGAAACAAAAGACTTCAACAGGGCCTCTCTGTATCGAGTTTACCATCTTTGGTCCTTGATGGGGTTGCAGTAAATCCAGGCAGACCCAGTGGTAACTTGGGGATTCTCCTGGATGTATGGCTCCTGCTCAAACAGCAAGTGGCAGCTGTGGCTAAGAGAGCCTTTGCCTAATTGTACATTGTGCATCAGTCATCCCACTTCCTGGACAGAGAGAGACTCACTGTTGTCCACTGGCAGTTATGCTGTAGCTTCTGCTGATTAGACTATTGCAATGTGCTCTACATGGGGCTACTCTTGAAAAGTATCTGGAAGCTTCAGCTGATGCAGAATGGGGTTGCAAGAGCCATATTGGGTGCCCAAAGGATGGCATATATAATACTTTGCGAACTGCCCTAAGTGCCAATTCAAGGTTTTGGTCATCACCTATAAAGCTCTGCCCAGCATAGGGCCAAACAACCTATGGAATCAGCTTCATCCCATCAATCGCTCCCACTCATTCTAGCAGAGAAGATATGCTGCAGACCCTGTCAAAGAACTTTGACTGGCAGGGTCTAGGAAGGAGGAGTTCTCTGCTGCTGTCCCTGCAATGTGGAACACGGCAGTCAGCCCCCAATCTCTTGACTTTCTGCAAAGTGGTCAAAACTTGACTATGCAGCCTTGCATACACAAAGTCCCTCTCAAATGTGGGGCTGGCTACCATATGAAAAATGCCTATATTAACATCGGCTAACTCTCCCGTCTTGGAATTTTTCACCTTTTGAATTTTTATTATTTTTATTTTAAAACTTTTAAATCTTAAAATAATTCTGATTTTAATGTTGATTTTATACATTGTTATATACTGATTATATTGTACACTGCTCAGAGTTCTTCTTTGGGAGAGATGGGAGGTTAAGAAATAGGAAATAGAAATAAAAGTAATAAGTAAATAAAAGAGAAAAAACAAAGGGAAGAGCGGAAGGGAAGAATGGAAGTAAGGAAGGGAAGGCTTTCGGTCTTTTTTACATCAGTTACAAAGGCATTCATATTTTATCCTATCTAAGGTTACATTATGCCTCAGTATTTTCCATTTTTAGCAAAAAGGTGAAAGGTTTCCAGTCCCTAACAAATATAGTTTTTGACTTTTCCTAATCAAACAAGTCAATTTTGTCATATTTTTCTTTGTTCTGTTTGTGGTTGTATGTATTTGTGTAGCCACCCATTACTTACTTATATCTTTAGCACAAGAGAAGCCAGAGCTGCAAATGCTGCAACAATGGTGCCCACACATGTCTGCCCGACATGTGGCAGAACGTTCCATGCCCGTA